GTGGTTTCGGTGTTTTAGAGAGCGAGGGTATAGGACAAGTTTCTGCAGGTATCGAGCAACTATATTATAATATAAGGATAGGTGTCTGTAGAGGTGTATGGTGGGTGGTTGGCAGGTGCGCTGGTGTGGATTGCTTATTCTTTATATAAGGATAGGTGTCCATAGTGAGGTGCCTTTGTGTAGTGGCTGGTTGGCAGGTGCTCGGGTGTGGATTGCTCTTTCTTTTCCTATCAAATAATTATCTTTCTTATCTCTCTTCTTTTCTTCGAAGGTTACTCTCTTGTAACGTCTTTAATCTTTGATTCTAATGTGACCTGTTTGTATTGCAAGTGCGGTAAAACTCTTACTAAAACCAAAGCCCTCACCGTGGCGTTTTGGCTCGATTCCAGAGCATTGGAGTATATTATTGTATCTAACATGTCTATTCTTAGTTTCTGTATCCTGTATGGTTATGTGTTATATGATATTAGTTCATGTTCTCTGTACGTTATGTGGTGTACCCCATATTATTTCATGTTATGTTGTACCTGTATCATTCATTGTCCCTGTTTATCCGTGTTCACAGATGAAACCATCATTTACCGTTTATAATAAATGAACTACACCGAGAAGTCTTTCTTCATATCCCACTAGAATTACAGGCAAAACTGTCTAAGACGGCCATACATTGTTGAGAAGAAAAGTGATTATCTGAGACAGGTGGTCCTAATGGACCGTGTCGTTATAATAATACAGAACAACGTAAGGAAGAAAGGGGGGGGGGGGGTTGAAGTAGGAAGAGGTCGTTTGTACTGATGGCTGTCTTTTACAGGTGATCGTTAGAGCAGGGTTTAACTGTATTTGACCACATTTGAATCTTCCTAAACTGCGGTTTTACAGCCCCATTGACACAATTTAGATATTTTAAGAGGCGGGCGTCGACCCACCTGTTTGGGCCGATCCGGGCTGAGAGCGATAATGATAATAATAAATAGAATTTGTACAGCCCATGTCCCCACTCTCGAAAGCAAACTCTATGTGCTTTACACAGTATATTATTACCCCAGCAGACCATAGAACTCTCAGAAACTTTCTCAGCTTCCCGGGAAGCATACAGTGCAAGCAGCTGGTTAAGCGCTCAAACACTAGCAAACTGACAATACCTTTCACTGTCTATAGCTCGGTACCCATTTTCATGAAAGTCGTGTAAAGTGCCTTTCCCAAGGACACAACGTCGGGCCCGCGGCTCGAACCCCCGAACCCGCAACCTCACGCCTCACGATTACGAGTCCGGTAGCCTAACCACTAGGCCACCGACACCACAATATCCCTGCAGAAAGATGGGGATACCCGAAGCGCCTAACCCTAGACGGTCAGAGAACGTATAGGCCTAACCGATTGCAGACCTTAGAGACCTCCGTTGTGGCTTCTTCTTCTTCTTCTTCTTCTTCTTCTTCTTCTTCTTCTTCTTCTTCTTCTTCTTCTTCTTCTTCTTCTTCTTCTTCTTCTTCTTCTTC